TATTCCTTCGGGTCGGAGCACCCAAACCGCCTTACCTAGCTGGAACTCACATGTTAAGATTCTTCTTAACAGACTGTTAAATTGTGAACAAACTCCTGCTGTGAATAGTGACTTACGTTAATCTGTTTTATGTAAGACTACTTTACTTATGACAGAACCGAATTACAAATTTCACTAAGATGGATATGCAAAGAAAAAATTATCATAAACCAATGATTTTGGGGAATATTTATAAACTTTATTACATTAAAAATTACATTTATTGTACTCTTCGTATATGTTATTATAACTGTCCCGTATATTCGAAACCAGATATGCCTGAGAGTTTTACAATACGTACTTACAAGAAAAGCTTATTGTCAAACGTAGAATAATCAAAGAAGTTTTCGAAAATATTCCGGCAGAAAATTAATAGCGCAATCTGTAATGAACCGTAATAGTGGAGTCATTAAAGAGCAAGGTAAGATAGGTATGTGCGATAAACAATAGGAAAGAAATATTGAGACGTCGATTGCTTCAGGTTAAAATATAAATTGTGATGCAATCTTATCAGATATTGAATACTTTAAGTGTGGTAATTTATCGTAATCTACAAATGACGACGCAAGGTTAGACTGTAAAAAAGGCATATTGTAGTTTATCAAGAAAAAAGATGTTCTGCTTCTTAAATTTCCCTTTAACATCGACTAAATGTTTACAGAACAAATATCTTCACTCTGCTGAGAAACGTGTGTAATCAATTATAAAAAAGAAACTCTACCAACGCTTGAGGAGTTAATAATCATGTCGCTGGGGGAGGGGGCTTCCGCGAGGCCAAAGGAAGCAAATTGAAAGCGCCGCGCACAAACGGAATTGACTCCTTATTAAACGCACTCGCGCTCTCTGCGCTGAGGAAATTTGATTGCAGAGAGCTGCGGTTTCATTGCCGCCGCCGCCGCCGCCGCCGCCGCCGCCGCCGCCGCCGCCGCCGCCGGTCGCCTGTCGCCGGCTCTCGTCCGGACTGAACGCGCGCCGCCCAACTCTCGTCCGCACATTGCCTTCTCGTCGCCCTTCAAACGTTCCGCTTGTCACTGCGACGCGAAAGATCAGTTGATACGATTTTGGTGAATACGAAATTTAAAGCGATGTCACCTGGAGTCGTTATAAAAATCAAATAAATGTGTGGTGATGTTTTTGATGGACTTAAATTATATGTATTTTTTCTTGATGTTTTCATAAGGAATAATAATAATAATAATAATAATAATAATAATAATAATAATAATAATAATAATAATAATATTTATTTGGCTACAATTGGCTGATTGCCAGGTGGTAGCCATAACCCAACAGTTTTACAATATATGAACACTTATAATTCAAAAACAATTTACCATATAAAACAATTTACAATACACTCCTTTCAATCATACACTCACTATATAAATATACACAGACCTGTAGACATCTATGGCACACATATACATACATATACACACATACATACACATATATACATACATATACATACACATACACACATGTTCAAGCGATGTCACCTGGAGTCGTAGAAATTAAATGTATGGCGTGTTAATTTAGATGGATTTAAATTGTGTGTATTTTGTTTTCTTCGTGTTATAAAATACTGGACTTCTAAACTCATTTTGAGTATGTGTGACGCCCAACTCTCTTCGGCTCACTGCCTGCTCGTCGTCCTTCAAACGTCCCACTTATCACTATAATTCGACGATGCATAATATCCGTTGATACGATTTTGTGGAGTACGAGTTTTGAAGAGATGTCATATACAAATTGTCGTCCTTCAAACGTACCACCTGTTACTATGCGTAAGATGCGTTGACACGATTTTGTGGAATACGAATTTCCAAGAGATGTCATCTTGACTCATTACCAAAATATGGAAATGTCTTGATATTTTGGATGGGTTTAAATGTTTTTCTCGGTGATAACAAATTCTGAAAATTTAAACTCAATTAAAGCCTGAGATAAATTATTTTCTCATGTTCTTTAACCGCTTTTACCTCTTTTTCTGTGTAGTTTTCTCCATGTACCTATCTTCAAGAGACTCTTATTTTTACATTTTCCGTGGACTGTCAGAATTGTTGATTGTGTGTGCTATTATATTGTGTGCCGTATACAAAATTCGTTTCTTTACAATACTAATGCAATGAAAGACAAATCTCAGAGGTCCTTGAAATGTATAGGAATATAAACAATCCTTAATTTTAAGGTTAAAAATTCTCCGTTTTAGTTTCTTTTAGATAGTTTTTGGAAATGTAATGTTAATTTTATTGTAAGCTCCTTGACTTTAACAAAACAGACAGTGAGTTTTTATAACACTTTATTTCATGGTGTTCATAAATTATAAAAAATACTCAAGTCTGTTTCATTAAAGACAGGAACCCAACAAGAAAATAAACATTATAACAGACATTAAAATATTCATTGTAAAGTTAATTGCCTGGAGATTACTAGGACATATTGCACATTACTAATATGTTTCTCTGCGTTTGTTACAGATGGCTTCCCTGAAGTGGACTTCTTGCAAGCTATCACAATCCCCTTCTTGGATCCCAAGTTGCAGTATTTCGACTCAGGAATCGACGGGTTTCCTGCGTACGGCCTGAAGCCTGGGTCTGACATCAAATCTCCATACAGACTCTTCATGCCTGAAAAGTTGTATCCAGAATTTTCTATTGTTATCACTGTTCTACCAAAATCCAGGGAAGGAGGCTTTCTGTTTGCCGTCGTGAATCCTCTCGATACGGTAAGTAATGTTGACCTTTCTAGAAATTATTGTTTAGGGGCAGATTACTGATGACTTAAAATAAGACTCGAGTTTTTAATTAAATTGTAATCGCTATATTTTAAACCGTATTAAGCTACCTCAGAATAAATATTACACACTTTGGGGACATGCAGGAGATTCGAGGATGAGCAGATTACCCTATGAACTTAGGGTGAGAAATGTTGTGTAAGGAAATTACAGAGGTGTACTTTGCCCCTGATCGGCATGCAACCGGTCGTACATCGATGTTTGGCGACTCAAGAAATAGCTTTGCATCCTAACGTGACTTGCCAAACATCAGTGCACTAAGAGTTGCCTTCCAATCAAAGGCAAAATACACATCTCTATCTTCGTTGTATTAGATTTTACAGTAAATTTTCATTGGGTAAAAAGTTACAATCACATATACCTCTACCAGGGGATGCCCCTAGAGGTTTTCCTTTTCTCGTGAAGTTTTCTTGATCCTTTCATCAAATGTTGAGGTGGCCTCTTTTGTTTTGCTTTTGGACACGTAACTTCACTATCTGAGCACGTCTTCTAAATTTCTGTGGGAAATATAGTTATTCAAATTTATTGTTCTCCATGTTCTCGCTGTATGAAGTCGATTCCTTCACGAAGGGGAGGATGAGATACAATAGACCAAATCTATAGCTGATTTTCTTCTGGAAATAGTTTTTATTACGTGGGAGCGAAGTTTTTGTTTATCAATCCTTGCTCTTTTCCATCAGCATGTAGAATTCAACTTGGGAATGAGTAGGATTGGACGTAGAATCGTTAGCCGGCATCCTCTGAGCAGCTGCGCCGGATATCACACCCACACATAAACACGTTTTTCTTCGTCACCGTAATGGTTTCCACCACGTTATATGGGAGTTGGAAGGCCCTGATGATAACGTGAATCCCGAGAAGCCAAGCTGGGCGCAAGTCGCTAGGTCGGCTCGCAGCGTCACCAGGGCCGGGGAGGGCGCGCAGGGCAGACGCCAGGCATCTTAACAATAAGACTTGCCAAACTCACATTCACTTACCGGTCGGCCTACAGTAGTCAACTAAATTTCCTAGCTACTGTCTTCGCTCAATTTCTAATCTTAACTGCCTTCAACTGACTGACTCGACTCACTGACTTCTCTATGTTCTCTATGCATGGCGCTGACCGTCTGCCGACACTACCCGTTCGTCTGCCCTCTGGTGTCCATCTATCTGTCCGGCTGCCCGTTTGATTCTCTCTCTCTCTTCTCTTTCTCTCTCTTTCTCTCTCTTTCTCTCCATCTTTCTCTCTTTTTCTCTATCTCTCTCTTTCTCTCTTTCTCTCTTTCTCTTTCTCTTTCTCTCTTTCTCTCTCTCTTTATCTCTCTCTCTTTCTCTCTCTCTTTCTCTCTCTCTTTCTCTCTCTC